ATGATTTTACTCATTTTGAGACATTTATGCTAAAAAGGCTGAAAGGTGGTCTTATTCCTGACCCTGAAGCCCAATTTTTATAATAGAAAGTGGCTTGAGGTTCATTTAATATTAGATCTGATGAAGTCGAGATTCTACCTACGCAAAAAAAAAAAAAAACCCTTTCAGGGGGGGCTGCACAACATTCGCCTTCTTCATTTTTTCATTTAAAAATCCTGGCACAGAGCACAGCTAGCATAGGAAAGAAAGAACGTCTACTTCTTTGTATATTGGAGCTTGTTTAACAACTGACTGATGGATAAAGTATCTCTGGTGTCTTCAGTTGAAAACCTATGCAGACCCGCTGTCCACACGTGCAAAACTGGACCACTTTTTTGTGGCCCTCTAGGTGGCGCTGGTGGTCCCAATCTGGCCCCTATGGTTAAGAATCACTGCTATATACCACAATTGACAGATTTTAGATGCACGTCTGCCACTTGTTGGATTTATGTTTTGATAGAAAGTCACAACTATTCACTTAAAAAAGTGAAGGTGAGAAAATACCAGTAGAGGGCAGTGTACATGATAAACACACCATTATACACTTTCAGGGCCTTAGTTGTACATGATTATAAAGTAAATTATTTTAGAAATTTTGAGCAAAACTCAAGATATCAGAATTAACCATGATTTATCAAAATCTATCTTTTTTGGTTTAATAAATTATATTTATTATAATTGATAGATTGTTTACATTTCATGCTGACGAACGGCACGTCCCTCATGTGTGTAAAGTTACACCAGTTCCTTTTTGTGCAACTGAAATAAGCTACAACTACAATTACATGATGAAACACCCTGTTCCTTCAACACACAAAGGTTACCATTTTTCCTGTGGTTGTTTTGTGTCAAACGCTGACATAACAACATGTTACACAACCCATCAGGTGACAATGAAGCTGTCAGGATGTCACAAGTCAGAAATATGACGACGCCACCAAACCTCTTCCTCCTCTGTGTCTGTCGTCTACCCACAATGCACCAGGGCAGTGACCGCCGCCTCACCCCTGGTGCAGGGGGTGAGCCGGGGGTCCCAGTCAAACCTGTCCTGCTGACTAAAAAGGCTGAAAGGTGGTCTTATTCCTGACCCTGAAGCCCAATTTTTATAATACAAAGTGGCATTTAATATTAAATCTGATGAAGTCGAGATTCTACCTAAGCAAAAAGATACTCTTTCAGGGGGGTCTGCACAACATTCGTCTTCATTTTTTCATTTAAAAATCCTGGCACAGAGCACAGCTAGCATAGGAAAGAAAGAACGTCTACTTCTTTGTATATTGGAGCTTGTTTAACAACTGACTGATGGATAAAGTATCTCTGGTGTCTTCAGTTGAAAACCTATGCAGACCCGCTGTCCACACGTGCAAAACTGGACCACTTTTTTGTGGCCCTCTAGGTGGCGCTGGTGGTCCCAATCTGGCCCCTATGGTTAAGAATCACTGCTATATACCATAATTGACAGATTTTAGATGCACGTCTGCCACTTGTTGGATTTATGTTTTGATAGAAAGTCACAACTATTCACTTAAAAAAGTGAAGGTGAGAAAATACCAGTAGAGGGCAGTGTACATGATAAACACACCATTATACACTTTCAGGGCCTTAGTTGTACATGATTATAAAGTAAATTATTTTAGAAATTTTGAGCAAAACTCAAGATATCAGAATTAACCATGATTTATCAAAATCTATCTTTTTTGGTTTAATAAATTATATTTATTATAATTGATAGATTGTTTACATTTCATGCTGACGAACGGCACGTCCCTCGTGTGTAAAGTTACACCAGTTCCTTTTTGTGCAACTGAAATAAGCTACAACTACAATTACATGATGAAACACCCTGTTCCTTCAACACACAAAGGTTACCATTTTTCCTGTGGTTGTTTTGTGTCAAACGCTGACATAACAACATGTTACACAACCCATCAGGTGACAATGAAGCTGTCAGGATGTCACAAGTCAGAAATATGACGACGCCACCAAACCTCTTCCTCCTCTGTGTCTGTCGTCTACCCACAATGCACCAGGGCAGTGACCGCCGCCTCACCCCTGGTGCAGGGTGTGAGCCGGGTGTCCCATCCTTCTGAATTCCTTGCGACAGCCTTGTTTGTGAAACTCTCCCCTTGTGTTTGTTCCACCTCTCCTCTGGTCTCCCAGCTGACAGTGGTCCCATTGTGAAGGTGGAGAGCCACGCTTTGTTTTACCCCCGCCTCGTCGGAGCCACCGTGTAATCCTGTTGGTTTACCTGCGCATTATTTACCCGCCCTGTGACCATTTAGGTCCCCTCGGATTTTCGTGCGAATAGAATGTGTGGTTGAAAATATCATCTCAAATATCAACCCCCTGAATTATAACTACAGATAACAAGTCATTTAAAATCAAAGCACAAACATTTTCAGTGTGTAATTATGGCGCCGACAGGACCAAACCACTGATTATAGAAAGCGCTATGTTTTTTTTTATGTTACACAGACTAATGACCTGCAATTATTGTTGAGCTACTCTGATTTTTTTTTAACACCTGGTCAATCGACAGCAACACAAATGTCAGAATTTATATGTTTACATTCACAGCAGCTGTTTCCACTTTTTATGAAGATGAAGTTAAGATATAGTTTATGCTTCTTTTAAAATACTTATAGTTTAATTTGTGTCAAAACTAAATTTAGTTTTATTTATTTTTAGCCATCTTTAAGCTTTTATCTTTTAGCATATTTTGCACACTTTTAGCTATGTAGTAATCTTTCGGTTATTTTGGCTAATTTTTTTTTTTCAATCTAAACTTCCTTGCTTTACTATTTGCTATTATTTTTACTTGCTGCTGTGTCTTAGATATGTTTGAGCAAAAGCCATTTAGTAACTTTTTTACACTAATGTTAAACCATTTTATCTTGTTTTTGGCTAACTTCCTCCTGTCAAATATATAGCTTTCTTGCTAAGTTGAAGCCGGAACACTTTTTTTTGCCTTTTAAAACATATTGTTATTTTTCTTCCTTTCTGAGCTTCCCTAATTCGGGACAAATACTAACTCAATTTTCAGCCACTTGAGAATTTTTAGCTGTTTTGTTGAAAAGGTTAAAGGTTATTGGGTAAAATGTTTTGCTCTCTTGGTTAACTAAGTGAAAAAATATTGTAACCAGCGTTGTATTGTATTGGGGAGTTTGTGTGGGGGGGTCATTTTATATTTGTAACTC